TTCTCCAGAAGCCACCACACCTGCATCCATCCCATCAGAAGCAGCCAGCTCTCCAATGAGTACAGTGTCTTCTACGGCATCAGCAAAGAGAATAACATCTTCTATTTCCATAACCACAACCCCAGCTCTAAAGAGCACAGTATCCTCTACATCTTTTTCAGAGAGTAGCATGACGCCATCCAGTTTGGCAAGGACCACCACTTCTGTTTTATCAAGTAGTGTGCCATCTACCACTCCCACAACCAGTTCCGGACTTCTTTCTACCCCCGAGCAAACGTCCATCTCTCCTCTGGAGAGAACACTACATACAACAATTTCAGAAAAGAGTAGCACAATTACTTCTAGTACTGAAAGTACAGGTTCCATTTCGGAGAGGACAGCATATTCCACACCTTTGCCAGGGACCAGCATGTCTGAATCCACCACATCAGAAACAGCTACCTCTCCTCCAGAAAGCACTACAACTGCTGGAAAGAGTAGCACGATGACTGCTCCTACTACAGAAACCATAAGTTCTGTTTCAGAGAGCACAGCAGTCTCCACAGAGATGCCAGCTGCCACCTTGAATGAATCCACTACATCACAAACTACCATATCTGCCCCGAAGAGCACACAGACCTCCATCTCTTCCACAGAAAGCTCCACAATTAGTACTGGTAAAACAAAAACCACGACTCAACTTCCAACGACTAGGGAATACTTAACTACTTCTCCACAAACCACCACATTGGAAACCGCAGTGGCAGCCACTTCTCCCCCACAGAGCACAGGGACCTCCAGCTCTACAAAGACTACTAGCTCTTCAGAAACCACTGCTCAACATTCAATCACCACAGCTACTTCTCCAGAAGCCACCACACCTGCATCCATTCCATCAGAAGCAGCCAGCTCTCCAATGAGTACAGTGTCTTCTACGGCATCAGCAAAGAGAATAACATCTTCTATTTCCATAACCACAACTCCAGCTCTAAAGAGCACAGTATCCTCTACATCTTTTTCAGAGAGTAGCATGACGCCATCCAGTTTGGCAAGGACCACCGCTTCTGCTTTATCAAGTAGTGTGCCATCTA